AGGCAAAGGAAATTCTTCATTTTATTGTCCATATGAATTTGGAATTTTTGCTTCTTTTTCAAGTCATTTTTTTCTCGTTTCACAAATTTACAACTATGTTTCACTTGAAACGTAATGTTAATTAGATAAACCATATAGCTGATTATTAATGTTGAAGAAGTATTGGATGATATATTCAATAACTTCTGTGTAGGCAAGTGAAACTTTTATGCATTTCCTATAATCGAGTTTTTTTATAAAAACGATGGCTTAGCTGATCCAATGGTAGCTTACGATTATTGTATGGCTTTTATTATATAAATTTATTGATTTGGTTGATGCTATGTAGTTTTTTAACGTTTCATTGAAAATACATAATGCTTTTCTAAAGACATCCGAGCAATCGCATATCCTAAGAATATCAGATATATCAACAAACAAATATGTCTATTTTTGAATTTTGTAGGTATCGCAGTGTTTTTAATGCGAATCTTTTTTAAATTTTGTCTAAAAAAAAAAAAAAATTCTGATATCTATGTGATGAAGCCCCCATTTTTCTGTTTAGAATTAATGATGGATTTTGTCAAGATATTTTATCAAGATTTAATCATTCATGCAAACACCAACTAAATTCTATGCATTCAGAGATGCATGCATATAAAATATAAATTTGCACTAACATCATTCTCCTGATTTTATATTACTCCAAGTATAACTTTCTATTGTGAGTTTTTATTGAAGCGGAAATTAATCTGGTTCATAAGCATAAGAAACAAATAAATGACCTTTTTTCTTTTCTGTTTTCTTTTTTTTTTTTTTTTTTTGTTTGTTTCTTTGTTTTTTTTTTTATCTTTCGGTAATCTTTACGATATAAGTAAAAATAAAAACATCAAACCTTGTGCTATTTATGCTCAAAACTGTTAAAATGATTTCTAAGCAAAAAATATATGTCCTTACTATTAGCTGTTTTGAAAGCAATTTCAAACATTTTATATACATGAAAATATCTTTTATATCATTTCAACAAATATTTGCTATCATTGTATGATATGCTATGTAATAATAGTATTAGTTGTATTATTCATTCAAACTTTGCATGAAGTTTTTTAAAATAGTATAATCAATTTTTGATCATATTACTTTAAAAATTTATTTTTTATAAGAAAAAAAAATCAGTTAATTTGGATAAAAATATGCTACTACTAGAAAAAAGAAAATTATAAATTTTAGATTGGTCCATTTTTCTAAACATTGTTGATTTTATGTATGAAACTGTCAAGTACAATCCATTCATTCGTTAATAACAGTACCCATATACGGATGTTACTATAATTAACAATGATAAATTTGCAGATGTTTCCGTTTCCGGTACTCAATGAACTCATTTTTCAAAATATCAAAAAGGAATAAAAAATAAATAAAGTGATTAATCTAACAAATAAATCATTTATTGGTGATGATAAAAACACACTAATCCCATCCAATTTTATTCTCTTCCCTGTATTATTTTCTGTAAAGATGGAAAATGATTGCAAAAGGAATGTTATTTTTTAACTTAATAATCAATATTATGATATTCATGTCATATCGAAATTCAAATACTAAAAAGAATAAGACTGCAACTTCCAAATTAAAAGAAGATTAAAGCAAAAAAGAAAATCAATAAATGACTTTAAAAAATAATAATGAATGTAACTTTTGCTTTGTTTTTATTACTTTTGTTTTATACATACGACTTATACAACGAAGAAAGGAAACGAAAAAAAACATTAACATTAGAATTTTAAATTACAATAAAATAAATAAAGTTTAAATGAAAATTTTTTGTAAACAAATTTTTGGGGAAAAAAGTAGTAGATAGATAAAATCAGTATTTGTTAACAAAAAAGAAAAAAAGAAAAACGAGATTATTTATTTAGTGTTGAGAAGTTACAGGAAAAAAAGGTATTTAAAATAAACGGATAAAAAAACCTGTTTTTATGAACTTGATCTGACCGATCTTTTTTGAAAATGTATAGTCGGATAGAATTAGAAATACTATAAATTTATTTCCTCTCATTTTTTTATTTATTTCATTTTACCTTTTTTTTTTCTTTTTTTTTTTTCAGTAAAACTGAAATTGTATTAAATTCTTAGCAACACGTCAAATTTTTATTAAATTATTTTAAATTTCATAATTCTTATTACTTCAATTACAGACAATTTAAAAACGGGAAATAATGATGACGTCTATAGGTAAATGATAATTATGACATGCATTCCATATGTTGAACGAAGTAATTAATTTTAAAATTGAAAGATTAATTAACTTTTTCTGTTTATCGGTTGTCATCCTAATTTTTTATTTCAATTATAACTTCATTTAAAATAGAAAAAAAAAAAGGAAAAAGGAAAAAAGGATTACTGGAGTCTGTAACTGGAATTTCATCAACATATTTAGTCTTTTTTTTTTTTTTTGTAAAATTCATTGATTACACTATTATTATGTATCATAGACAACGTAATTTTGACGAATGAAAAATTATTTAATCTACATGCTAATAATGTATGTTACCACTGATAAATAATTAAAGTTTAGAGATTTGATATTTATTATACTAGCATTGATAATTCGTTGATTATCAGTTCATTTACATATACTTAAGCAACCATATTCATTAAAAAAGTAAATATGGATGAAATATGACGTTTCGAAATGATTGTTCATTATATTCTGAAAAGTGCGTTTGATAACGACGTTACTGTACAAAATTTTATATAAGCACTTTTAGTATTTGAAAATTACATTACTATTATTTCAACTATTTACATTATGATATCTTTTGCTTTTTTTTCTTCTTTTTGATTCTCTTTTAATCATTCAGAAAAATATATTTTAGAATTCCAAATTATTGAAATGATAGTATGTCAAACATGAATATACTTTTCTTCCAATATTTTTCTGAAATATATTCTGTTAGTATCAGCCCATTATATGAAAATTGCTATTATTTTCATATGTATTATTTTCATAACGGTTGTTAAAATAAAATAATCTTTGCCGGTAAATCACTAGAATTTTCAAATTATATGTGTAAATAAATGTAATCGTCTTTTTACAGTTAGTTACTCTATTTGATAATAAGCGCTTTTAATGCATTGATAATTCCGAATTCATAGTTACAATTTGACGAAAAAGATACAAAGAATGATATTGGAATCCCCGGCATTTGAGCATTTAACGGAATTCACTAATAATTACGAATACAGAAGATACGAGAAGAGATGAAAGAAAATGAAGAGATAGGAAACATTTGCAATCCACCAGTAAAAAAGTGTCATGTGAATCTACCGCAATATCGTATATGAGTTACATCATTTGGAAAATAGCGGGAAGGGAAAAGGAATAGGAAAAGGAAGACGGACGGGTAGTGGTTATAGGAATTACTGAAGCAAAAATGAGTATTAATGCGTTACGGAAAGAAACCGGTAACGTTGAAGCACAAGGATAAGAAATATCAAAGAAAACACAATTTTACACAGAACAGTCCTTAAAAATGAAATTATATTAAAATTTGCTTGACACCGAGTGAGAAACGATTTAATGAAATTAATGAAGAAAATATTTTTTTTATTAAAAAAATTTTTTTTTTTATTTTTATAGTTTTCATTTATTTTTTTCAATTTAATTTTTTTTTCTTTTTTTAAAAATTTTTGCCTCATTATTTTATATTTAAACAATTCTCAACTCGATAAGATACATCAACTAACAATATTACATTGTTGCAATTTTGTTGGAAAAATTCACGATGAAGTCATAGTTGACTAGGAATTAATACAAAAAAAAATACTGCAATATTATTCACAGTTTAAGCCATAATAGAAAAGTGTATTGTTATCAGCACAAAAAAAAAAAAAGAATCATATATCAAATTACCATTTAGAAAAAATCCACAGTAAATTTATACTTTTTTCCTTAAAAAAGGAAAAAAAAGGAACGACAATTAAATCAACAGATCCATTAAAATTTCTGGGAAAAAAATGAATATCAGTGAAACAATTTAAATGTGAAATAAAATAATATATGGTAATGCTATCACTCGTCTCCGAGAATTTGAGATCCTCGTGGGTGGAGAGAAAGGCAAAAATGACTGAAATTATTTGAATTTTTCGAAATTTAAGCGAAAAACACTAAATAATTTCAGTTAGCATATTGTTAAGCAAAATTCCTTAGAAACCCTATAATCTCCCATTTAACTGCTTCACTAATTATTATATTATTCAAATTCAATCAAATTTCTTTCTCCCCTTTCCTCCTTCTTCCCCTCTCTCCTTACCGATTTTCCTTCTCTTCTATACCTGGGCTTTTAAATGTTCTCATTCCTCCCTAATTAATAATTGTTGCATGCAGTAATTTTCTCTGATTTTTGGAATCAAAATATTGGAAATTAATATTAAAGTAGACGAAAAACCAGATTCTGAGTTTTTTCTTTCCGAAAAAAAAGACATAAAAAATTCAACCTTCTCTAAAGAGAATTTAACTTTAAAAATTGAAGATAATCCTCAGAAAAAAAAAAAAAAGATTGTCTTCAGATTGTTTCGTCAAAATATGAAGTTTGTGCATCTTCTAAGGAAGAAAAAGTCGAAATAAAAAAAATACCTCGGAGAAACCATTTTGCCTGCATATAGAAGAGTTTCCATTAAAACTATCCCGATAATTGAGATAAACAAAAAAAAAAAAAAGATGATCCTGATATAAATGAGAGAAAACAGAAAGAAATTAAGCACTAAAAGTTGCCTAATAAGCAGGTATAGTTAAAAGGAAACTTCTGTGATAGCCACCCACCTATAGGAGTGTGCAAAGAAAAAAAAATTGATTTGTCAAAAAAAAAAAAAAGTCAAAACCAATGTTAAAATCACAGAAGTCTGTTTTACAATTTAAGTTCAAAAAAAAAAAAAAAAAAATTTCTAGTTCATGTAAAATGCCTAGACCGAAAAGAAGGGAACAATATTAATGGCACTTGGATCAATTTTTAAAAACGTTAATCATCAAGTGGTCCATCTGACGATTCTAATGTTGCATCCATTTGTGCGATAACCTGTACTGTTGCTGCACGTGAATTTTCATGATCGCTACTCTCATCTGCCGAAATATTTTCTGCTCCTACTCCACCAAATGTTCCAGATGTTCCCGTAACTGATGCAGCAGCCATTCGACCAACTCGTGTATGTATCATTTCCAAAGTATCATCATCATCCGATGCAACATTCTGACGACAAATTGGACATGTACGATTGCCTCTTAGCCACTTATCAATGCATTTTAAATGAAAATGATGTGCGCACGGTAACATGCGAACCATGTCACGTTTTTCAAAATCACACTGACAGATTACACAGACTTTTTCCATTAACAACGCCGGATCAGAAATACGGAATGATTTTAATTGCTCAATTTCAATCCTGCAAATTTGAATTATAATTCAACTTACTGTAGCATCTAACAACATTAACAATTAAATATAGAAAGAAAAAAAATAAGATAGAAAAAAACTTTCAACACAAATTTTGAATAAAGTAAAGCATAAATTATTATTATTATTATTATTTTTTTTAAACATCTTAGCTCATACAAATAAAAATTTACTTTGTCATTCCTTTAGGTGGTAAACGGGTGGCATTCATCTGAGGTGCCATACGATCAAAAATGTGAAGGACCGCTGCTTCCCATGCACGGAACGGAATCTCACCATTCACCAGTCGTTCCAGTTGCTGATTGTAATTGGTTGCAGATACAGTTTCCATGGTATTTTGAAATGCTGCTTGTTGTGGCATCCATTCCGCAGCCAACGTTGGAACAGCAACCGGTCCCTCAACCTGAATTCAACATATTCTGATATCACTGGATACCTGCTTAATTTCTATATTGCTAATGATCTAATCTCCCATTTTAACATAAATTCAGCAATACTGCTTATATATGAACAAGAATATACAGATGAAAAAAAAGATATAAAAATAAAGACATACCAGAGGAATTGAATTATGGTTGCCATCTGTATAAAAATCAATAGGATTACGAACTCGACTTGCAAGGAACTGTGTCGTGGTAGCCGAATCAGTGGTAGCCTGAGCAGCTGCTTGAGCAATTCGAACACGGGAAACTACAGAATCCATTTGAGTGTTAATTGGTCGTGGAAAATACGAAAACGTGGGATATGAACGGTAATTCACTGTTACACTGTTATCCCAACTGTTGCCACCATTCACTACAGATGAAATTGCAGGTTGTGACCTGCAAAAATGATCCATCTTATACCAGTACTTCCTAGAAGAATAATCAATATTTTCCAACTAAAACATTATATCATAAAAGTCTTGGATAAGAGATCATTCTTATAAATATAAATTGATTTAATTAAACAACATTTCTCACTTATAACTTATAAAAAAAATAGCCAATGGATTGAACTATTAAAGTAAATTGTAGTAAAATGTGCACAAAAAGAAAAATGAAGAATTTTTTAACTTACACAGGTAGTTCATCCAGTGAACGCTGAATGCTGGAATATTCCTCTGGCATATCACCTATCACTGTTGGAAAGAAAGGTTGTTCCACTATTGGAATATCCGGCGACACGTATTGTAATGGTGTTGGTGCTGTTGGCAAGCGTAAATTCATCAATGGCTATATAATGATATAGTATAATTCTATATTAAACATAACTAAATGTCATAATAAATTTCTAATCCATAAAAAAAAAAAAAAAAAAGTAGAAAGAAATGGAGAAAAAAACATCACCAACCGTATGCGGAAGAAAATATGCATAATTTGATGTGACGGATGGAGATCCGTTAAGGTGAACAGCGATTGGAGTCTGTAAAACAATTGCTGGAAATTTGCAAATTATGACGTATTTAATATCGATTAGCTCAAGTTATGAACATTTCATACTTAAGACATTATACTAAGCGGTCGGTAACTGTCTTAGATGTAACATTAAAAAAAAAAGACTTTTCCATGTTCATCTATAAGAAACACGAAAAAAAAGAAGGAGATCGAGAAAAAAAAAAGTAAACAAACCACATTATGTACAATAGAAGTGCTAGGTAGAGTAGTCAGCTGAGCGTGAATTTGAGGGGCGATTACCTGAGGTCCATAAATCGGCGTTATAGGTGTTTGTGGAGCAGCAGCAGCAATTGGATCATAACCCGGAGATGAAGGTATGAGGCACGCTTGCTCAACAACACCTAAATAATAGGTAAAATTATAATTAACAATTTTTTCTATCTAATAATATTTTTAAAATTTCATTAAAAAAAATTTTTCTTTTCCTAAACATATTCTAATAATTATTTCCATGATTATGCTTTGATATTAAATTTGATCTAAAAATATGATATTAAAGACTATTTTCATGATTATGCTTTGATGTTAAATTATTATTATTTTCACTAACAACAAATGATCAATTCTCTAAGCTGGAAAAATAATAAACTGCTTTATTTTAATGTAATAAACAATGATAACATTTAAATAGTTGAAGATATCGAAGTTAATTCTTATTTCAATTTTAATTTCATGAAGAAATACTTTTGTTCATCTATTTGCTTTTTTTTTTTTATGAAATAATATTTCAAATTGATATTGGTATCAATATTTTTATTAATTTCCACTACGATATCAAGAATTAAAAAGAAGTTATAATAGTTGAGAAAAATAAGAAAGAATCCAAACTCCTCTCCATATGTACAGGGTAGCGTAATCCGGTTCTAATGAACGCTATGTATAAATAAAGCAGCAATAAACCACAATTAATGCAGACAGATGTAGAAATATGTTTACCAAAATGATCAAACCACATCAATAAAATAAAATGAAAATTCTAATATATATATGTATATATATGCATGTACAAATACCAATATTTGCATATATTATATGCAAATTTAAATACAACTCATAGAAATATGGTAATTTTCTGGTTGGTTATTTTGCGAAAACACATCGTTTCTTTTTCTTTTTCTTTATTATTTATCAAATATTTCATTTGAATTAATACTTATTTGTTTTGTGATTTATTAGCAAAAATAAACCTCAACATGTGAATGGTTAGAAATTTTTAGATCATATTATATTTTCACTAAATTATCGAACTCATATAATAATTTTTTCTTTTTTCTTTTGAGCTATTTTTATGATTTACTCAAAATTCTTCTAAAAATATATAATGATTTCAGGTTAGATAATTTAATGATTTTAGGTTAGATAATTTAGATATGTTGAATTCTTTTATCATTTCACTTTTTTTTTTTTCGAGAAACATAATTAAAATAAGTTAAATAATAATAGAATAGCGAACCGTTAACGCAACAACTGGGAAATGTTGGCCTAATATATGACGATGCATCCGTGTTAGCATTACGACGACGGCGACTTGCCGAGGGAACATCTGCAGCGGGTTCCACATCTGCCGTACGCTTACGTGATGTCTCACCAGATGTTGCTGGTACCGTTGACGTTTCTACAAATTTGGAACAAATGAAGAACTTTTTGCAGTGATAATTTCGAAAAAAAACTTCAACTTTTATATTTAAAATCTATCAACTAATGAGTACATTACGATTAATTATCTCATTATCATGATAAATGTCAACTATGATGCTAATTAATAAAATTTTAGTTTTCATCATTGAATAGAAACTTTTTTTTTGTACTAAATTCAGAAAAGAATTCTGGCAGAAAATTTTCGATGCTTTTTTCCGCAACAAAATATTTTGATGCAATCCTAGTTTCCACATTTCTTTGATGCATTATTTTTGCTCATTTTGCCGATAACTTTTACTAGTACTTCATTTTTCATCCATCGATGGAAGCAATAAAAGCGGCCACATCAAAGGATGATTTTATTGAAGGTGGCACTTCAAATTAACCATTATATGTTTGAAATTTTTTGGGAAGTGTAAAGTTTACAGAAAAAAAAAGAAAGAAAGCTACATATATAAGAGTGACCAATTTTAAATTTAAAATGCAAAACAAAAACATGAGTGCTAAGTGAAATTTTTAAATTTATGTCTGCATTTCATTCATCCCGTATTATACATTCAGTAAAAATAATGACGAAAAGCTCACAAATTTTTTAAAATATTTCATGTACTAATTTGCTTAATTCCAGCTTTTCAAGTTAATTGGCAGTTTTTACAGGGGAGGTAAAAGATAAATCAACAGGTTAATATATAAGTAGAAAAAAAAATAAACCTGGGATTTGTTGAAAGACAAGACCAAGATGAAGGGCAGATTCCACTTCTCTACCCGACATCTCGTTTTTATTTCTTATAAAATTTCAAAAATATGATTTTAAAGCGTCAAACATATCAACAGTTTGCAGTAATTGCTATATGTACCAGCAAATAATAGAAGTAGCAGTAGTAGAGTTTATTTCCAGAGATATTTCTGACTAGATGAAGACACATCTGAGGGCACCAAAATCAGGTGCACCGTTCCCTCCCTGAAATCTTTTAATTTATTATAAATTATAAATTAGCTAATTAAACGCAGGTACGTATGTATATTTATAATTGTAAACGATTATAATCCTAGTAATAACGATAAACAATTCAAATCTATTTAAAAAAAAGAATGAAAATAACTTTCACTAATCTAGTAAGGACATTGTAGCAAGTATTCCTGATCAATTTTGTCATCAATGGTAAAAGTTAAAATTAAAATTGACAGTTCTCGATATGCTGTCAACAATGTGACCTTAGGATACTAGTACAATTAAGCCTTCAAATTATAATGTTATGAATTATCAGCAAACCATTTCAATATGCAATCGCAATAATCTAATTACAATGAATTTTATTCACATTTGAGAAAAACATGTGTATAAAACTTTCTAAATTTGATCAATTATGATAAATATATGTTCTTCCATTAAATATCTAGAATTTAAAATTGAAATATTATAATTTGAATACTTAAAAATACTGCAAGTATTCCTCTTCCTTTCACAACATTTTACATTATCTGTTGAATCAAACAACAATAATAAACCTTATTGTTTGTAAATACTGCAACATTACTTAACTGCAAATGTTACACACTTTGCGTACATTGATAAGCTATCATGACTGCTATTCGCTAATGCTAATGGCAAATAAGTGGTATAAATTAGAACTATCCCAAGAATAATAATAATAATGATGCTGATGACGATGACTGGTGCCATTTTATTAGGAAGATAATTTTGCAAAATTAGGGAGAAGAAATACATGTCACAAGCCAGTACTCCTCTTACTTTTACGTCATTACTACTCCTCTTCAAATCAGTTTTCTAACCATTTCCCACTCTCTTCTTAACTTAAATAGCAGAGTAACGTCAAATTGGAAGAATTACATTTTACTGAGTGAAAAAGTTGATAGGGACATTGCCAAGGAAGGAATCATATAAAATGCACAATTTTAGAATGAATGTAAAAACAGAGGAATGAAATACAATTAATTAAATATTCATATTGAAACCAATTTCGACTCTAAATGTACAGCTTTTTTTTTTTTTTTCGGGTTATATACAGCTTTATTTCTTTCATTCTTCGATTCCATCCATTCATTCACTTCCATATATCTATTGCTTCGTCAACCCGTCTCATTATTCAATTCTTAACACTAATGTTTTATTGTGTTACCATCTGTCATCAATTAATCAATCATCAAATTACATTTCAATCTAATCACCTGAACTCACATTTTTTTTTTTTTATTTTATAATGGAAAAAGAAAAATGTTATAATTTGAAATTAACTATTAGAAAAACATAGGAAAAAAAGTAACATAAATTACAAGGAAATCACATCTACTACTTAAGAACTAACACTGCTTTCTAATTTCAGATAAATGTAACTTCTAATTTATGAATGTAAAATTTAAGTTATAAATTAGTAAAAAGAAATGAACAGTGAAATGGAAACTCATACTATTAATTGCATAAACAAAAAAGCCTCAGCGTGTTTTGAGTAAGCCATTTCAAACTTTCTGTTTGTATGAATGTGGATTTAAATTGTTGTTATTGCGTACACGCTTTTATTTATACGAAATGTTACGTAATTCGCTGGATTATCTCAAATTCGTAAATTATAGCTAATTTTTTTTTTTTTTTTTTTTTTTTAGCATTTAAAGATTTAAGTGAAATATATCAAATATCAAACGAATGTGATTAACGTAATCAATGGAATGTCGTGATCATATTCCCTAATATCATGATATCATGGTATCATTGTTTTCATCAGCTCTGATGATAATACTAACAAATAGCACGTTGTTGCTGATTTTTAACGATAATAGTGACAAAAAGAATTTGTCAACAGTGATAACGGTGATAACAAATAGAGGGTAAGTATGATATTTTTAATTCATGGAATGCCGTCGCATGTACAATTTCATTCATTTAATCCATCAGAAAATGGTAAATTAATCGATAAATTTATCAAGGTAATAACTTAATCTATCCTTTCTTCATTGCCAGAAATGAGCGATAATAGCAAGCGTTAAATTGGTTATGATAACTAGTTACCCATCCGTTCATTATTAATCCATTATCTCATTTCTAATTTATTCATCTCTTTTGTACTGAACCGGAAATGCTGAAGCATAAAATGACGCCCATTTCTGTGGAAATAAATGGAAGGAAATTCACGGAAGTATACAGCTGCCTGATAGTAAAGGAGTGAGTGATGTGTGGGATGTAATAAGTTTTCGATTGAATTAAAAGAATTGAAGAGTACAGAAGGAGAAGAGAAGAGAAATTATGAAGGTGAGAAAGAGGCAAATATTTTCGAAATATATGGGAGTTAGGATGATAGTGGACAGGTGTGAGTACAACAGGATAGAGGAAACTCTTGAAAGCAATAGCAATATTCTTTCCCTGCTGTGAACGTTAATGATTGTGGAACTGATAAATGGTGATGATAGTGTGCTGGTAGTGATCATGCTGTTGGCGATAATAATAATAATAATAATAATGATAGTGGTGGGTTGGTAGTCATTATTGTGGTAATGGTGGTAATAACGAGGTGACAAACCAGAAATAGTTAAATCTATTGGGATAATATAGCATACTAAAATAACTGTACTTAATAATTCGAATCAGCTATTTGATTCGTTCAACCAATACTAACACAGAAATCACATCATTCTTCACATGACATCACCGTCAAATTCATTGGCCATGAATGGAAATGAAAACCATTGGATTTGTTCATTTCACTTAATTTGATTGATGGTCATCGATGAAGCGATAACGCTTCAATGCCGTATGCGCATATATGGTCGCAATTCAACGGGAACTTGTTTATTACATGGATTTCGGTACAATAATAGGTAATCGTTGAAGTTAAATAAATGATTCTTACTGTATCATTGAAGTGGTTCAAAAGAGTCAGGACGGAAAAGTAGGAGAAGTTTACATCAAATATGAAAATAACTTTCATTTTGAATTTATAAAATTATCAAAAAAATCCAACAAAGTCTATTTAGTAATCTAAATATGAATGCATCAAAATAATTGAATTATATAATTTAAAGTTGAAAGTGATGATCAATCTCGTGTTTTATAGCATTGTAAAAAAAAAAAAAAAAAAAAAAAAAAAAAAAAAAAAAAAAAAAAAAAGGAAAAAAAGGAAAAAACAAATTAAAACAAAGCAAAAAAAAGGGGAAAAAAACATGTCATAATATAATTTAAAATAAAATAAAGAGATAAATCTAAAATATAATAACAAATGTTTTCAATCATTCAAATATTGAAAATGAAAAACCAATTTCTCAATGAATTTGTAGAAAAATAAAGAAAAAGTGAAATAATAATAACAAAATTTTTGAATTAAAAAAAGCAAAAAAAGAAAATGAAAATGTTCAAACATAAACAAACGTCATTCCTCTCTCTTCGAACACTTTCATTCTATTCACTTCCTTCATTTTAGTGGCAGATAAAATTTACCACTCTCTTTTGGATTTCGTTAGCTAAAAATGTTCGCTTTTTATTTTGTCTTTTTCCTCTTCACAATTTTTTTCATTTTACTACAATGACATCTTCCACTTTTTTTCTTTTTTGAATAAGACAGAAATGATGATCGGTAAAATCGTGTATAAACGAAGCAGGGAAATGAGGAGAAGGAGGCGGAGGAAGAAGAAGACGAAGAAAAATGTTATAACGAATAATTGCAAATATTGAATTTTAAAGTTTTTTTTTTGAAAGTAAAATTATCATATTATTCTCAATTTTATGATAATGATGATGATGATAAGTGAGAAGAAGAAAAATATAAAAGAATCATATCAATAAACTCTTAAAAGACGAAAAACTTATCCACAAAATGAATAATTAATTCAAATTCTAATCAAAGACAAAAAAAAAAAAAAAAAAGCTAATATATCAAACTTTAAATTTGATAAAATTAATATTTCACTTAAAATTGAGATAAGAACAAATAAATTTAATTAACAAGATTAAATTTCACTTAACATTTAAAATTAGTTAATTTGTCAAGGTCTGATTTTAACTATACCATGCATCTTTTAAAAAAAAAAAATTAACATTGATAATTCATATTTGACAAAGTTATTGTTAAAACCAAGGATATATATATATACGAAGATAAGAAGTTTACATATTTTTGATAATTTAAAAAAATATATGAACGAATGATAACAATTGATTGATTTGATGATTTTTATAGAAACAATATGTTTTGAATTCACTTAAAAGATATTCCTATGACGTAATTTGTCGTGCTACTTACACTTTTCGCTCAACTGATCTTTGTCCGGTGTAGTTTTCAAAATCCCTTGGCCCATTTCACTATCGATTCTGGCACTTTTTTTTTTCTTTCTTTCCCTTTTAATCAGAATCGATGTTATGATTGCTTACCCATTTAGGGACCAACATCATTACTATTAGTACTGAAATAACAGTATCCGGAAATAGTATGAAAAATTTATATTCGGGTAACAAAACAATTGAAATTAAACAAATAAACATCAATAATGTTTATATAGTTGTGTTATCATTATTGATGGTAAAGTAATTCTAAGTAATTTCAAATATGGAACATTTAATAGTGTACTAACCAATCTTCCTTTGCCACATAATTTATATTAAAAAAATTTTTGAAGCAACAAATAAGTGTTACAGTAAAATGAACAAAATGTTGCTACCACTATAAAACATCTAAAATTTTAACTTCTCAAAATTCTACCTTCGCATAATTATTTACTAATTATTTAAACTTGAAATTTTATATTTTTAATACTTAATACTTAAAT